TGTTGAATTTGCACAGGAATTTTTTTTAAGACCTGTTTTATCAGAGAACAGTTTTGCCACTGTTTAGCATTAAAATATTTTAGTGAGATCAATGCATGTTAAAAACATCGTACTACTTCTAGTTAGACTTCCCTAGCGAACTGCTAGATAAGAGCTCGAATATGATTGTTACAATGAACTTTTCTGTTACTCCAAAATTTATTTCAAAGAAAAAATAAATTAGCAAAATGTTGGCCAGGTAGCAGAGTTTTGGCAAAAGCTCTTCAGGGTCTTTAGATTATGTTATAGGTAACTTAGAAAGAGTTACTTGGCCGAAGCTTACATAATAAAGCAGCAAAAATCTAAAGGAATTTATTAAATCAGCCATATACTAGCTGAATAATCATCACACAGCTTTGAGTTACATGTCGCATGCCACTTCAATCGATAAAAAGCTATAGCCACTGCCCACAGCAAAACCTCCAAAAACCATCTAAAATATCACTACCATCACTAAGAAAAGTTATCAGTTCAAGTCATTGAGTTGTAGAAAATTAAGAGAGAAACACAAAAATATGTTCAGAAAGTCAGTTCCTGTTTTATCTGTTTTTAACATGGCATTGCTACAAATTATACATTAAATTATACAATAAAAAGTTATCAAGTCATTGAGTTGCAGAAAATTAAGAGTGAAATACAAAATTATGATCAGAAGGAAAGTTCTGTTTCATCTGTTTTTAACATAGCATCGCTGCAAATTATAAACAACGAAGTATCAGATGTACTAAGGGACAAGATACTTTTTACAGTAATTATTTTTTTTATCTACTACTGCATGTGATATTGTAAAGAAAAGTATTTTACTGTTTGGAGATATGGAATTTTAACCTGAGACAAATAATAGCACTGTCATCCTCTAAAATCAGTCGTGTATATTTAACCTGGTCAAAGGTTTTTTTTTGTTCTTCGTTTAGCTGCCTTTTTCGGATCTCTCCTCAAGAAAGCAAAGTGCAGTCTTTTTACATTGAAAAATGTAAACTGTAACCTTAAAGTAGTTCGCGACGTAAACTAAAAAACTTAGCGAAGTTGCCGAACCGTAACTCGGTCACTATTTTTTACTACCTCGTAATAGAATCATAAAGTTACGTTGCGCAAAATGTGAAGTTCCATATAGACTTTTAGTCTTGATTAAAAGAATAACAACAATCTGCCTGGTTTATTAAGTGTGTTTTCGAGGAAGTATTTTTTCGGTGAATTCATGGATTATGCATGAACACAGAAGAAAACTTTGAATAAATTACTTCTCGTCGTCAATAACTTGTTTACATGCCACATTCATCAACCGAAAAGGACCGCAAACATTCAAATGTTCAATCATCTCCCTAACCATGAGTAACGTTATTACGAGTAGAAACATTATCAAAACACATTTAATGTAAGAAGATCATCACCTTCGCAAATAACATGCTATGCATATTCATTGCATCATCCAACAGAAAACACGTGTATCTGTTTGTTTTTCTCACGCAAGCTGTTTGAGAGTTAAATATCTTAGCTTACTAGAAATACACCGGGCAACCCAGGACCCACAAGTGAAGCTTTTACTAAAATGCCTCTATAGCGAAGTTTAGAAGTGCTAAGAGCGGGATATTTTTATTTAATGACATGCAGCGTCAACGACTATATATATATAGCACAACATTGTTTGTTCTTTTCTCACTGATCTCTGACTCATTCTAACGAGTCAATTACGGATCCGAGCAGTGATTTCACACGCAGGAATATATCAGAAAAAAATTGCAGTTCCTTTTTAAGGTAAAAGAAACGAACTCAGAACCGTCGAGGCGGCTTTTATCGTAACCGGATGTTCATTCAAAACCGGAGGAAAGAGTTGTATATTGTATCTTTTTTTTAGCAGCGATCGAGATAATCGATCGGTACTTATTTCAGATAGTTTGATGGAAATAAGCGTATAAAAAGTGGGATAATTTTGAGAGTTCACATTTTAAAACTCGTGTGGAAAATTAATATCGTTGAATTTCTACATCTTAGTATTCAAATGCTAGTATGATAAAAAAAATATGAACGAGTTTATAATGTTCACGTTTCAATAAACTATACATTAACCAGCTAGCTCAAACTGAAGATAAAACCCTGCTGTTGCGCTCTGTACTTTCTTTCAAAGGGAAAAATGTAAACCCCGGTGCCTTCGTTAAACGTTTAAGCATGAATAAAGAAAGATTGACATACAGACCTGTCGATTTGGGAGAAGTCGTCAGTTGCAGCGGCGAGATGCAAAGAAGAAATGATCGGAGACCCATATCTTCAATTTTATGAAGGTTATTGTCGCACTCCCCGAACGGTTTCCTTTGACGTTTTCACCGGCCGACTCGCTTTATATATGTCTTGNTTAACTCACCGATGACATTTACTTGCACCTCATATCTATCACTTCCCAGTAAATTTGTAGCTGTACAATTGTATCCTCCTTCGTCATCTTTGGTGACATTTCTCCGCACCAAACTTGTGGCTTCGTCATTTGTTCGATTTAGAAGCACTTTCCTGTCACGAGTTCGAAACCAGATCACCTGCGGTGTAGGAAAACCATTTGCTTCGCAGTCTAAGTGTAGAGTCATTCCTTTGACTACCGAGAACAGTTGTGGACTTTTTATTCTAATTGTGGGCCTCTCTGAAAAAAGAAATGGTTTTGGAAACCTAAATGAATACTTATTTAATTTTTGTTTTTTTTTTTTACTTATCTGTGTTTTGATCATTTTTCTTCTATGTGTAATTGCGATTGAAGGGTGGAGAAAGGGAGTTAGAGGTCAAAGAATAATTTTCCACGATACTGAAACCTTATGTTTCGTAACCAAAATCTTTCCCCTTCCCCACCACCCACTCCTTCCTTCACTCCTTTCCAAACGTTCCTGGGTCCACCCATACCGTGGTTGTTTTAAAACGGAAACGGTATCCATCTTAACTTTGTTTTCATAATGATGGATTGTTTTATTAAGCAAACAGAATCGTACCTCGGGCTATTTGAATAACAGTGGTGTTTTCTCGCACTCCGTGGTGACGAACTTTTCCTATGCACCAGACCACCATTCCGTCATGCTTTGATGACATCTTTGTTACAGTCAATGTTCCATTTAAGCTAAGTTTATACTGTTTAGGGTAATAATTGTAAACGCTTCTGCTTTCTATCCGAGAGATGATGTAACTGTCCCTATCATTTCTGCATTGTGCCATCGTCGGGCACAGATACAGACCAAGGTCTGATAGGGGCAGACCATCTGTGTTTATCAAGCAATGGATCTGTACGTCCCTTGCATCGTTTTCAACAACGATCTGGTTCTCTGCATCATCGTTATCAATTCCTGTCGAAGGAATGCAGAGATCATAAAAACAACAACAACAACAACAATTTATCACGTATAGAGTGCTATTTACAATGACAGATCAACAGCGCTTTACAATCAATCCTAACCCGCGCATCCCACCCCAGGGGGGGACATCCATTACACAGTAATCTCGTGCGTGGGAAATTAACGTCTCCTACCCCTAACCCTGTAGGAGACGGGACCTCCATTTATTCGTCCCTATCCGAGAAGACTAGAATATCTAACCATTTCTTGATGTTATAGAAAGGTAGCATATTCTTCTCAATTATTTTAAGACCTTGAGTGTTGGTCCGGCCGGGGCTCGAACCCTCGACCTCCCGCACAACAGTCCAGCGCTCTATCCATTGAGCTAACCGGGAGGCGGTTAGCTCAATGGATAGAGTT